CATCCTGTCTGCAGAATGTATCCCCTCCAGGCTAGGGACTCTATCCCGACCAGGGTTGGGTCCAGTGCCAATGGTCGCCAGCACCTTCGGCTCCAATTTCCCAGGGATCCCCATGGGCCCAATATGCCCCCATGATCTTGGACCACAGTGGGGGCTAATCCAGCAGCTGGCTAGAGTCCCCCCTCCTCTGCAGCCCAACAAACAGCACAGCAGTCGATTCCTGTCCATCCTCCGGCTGCAATCCAGCAACGAGCAGCAGCCCTGCTGCAGCTTCCAGCTCAGCCACTGGCGCTCGCCCCACCGCCCTGTCACCGGGGTCAATCCACCCGTGAGGCAACCACCACCCCGGTTTAGAGCAACATTTGATGGTAAGCCTGCTAAACTGGCTTACTTTCTCAGCCGAGTCTGGGTTCATATAGATCAGTATGGAGAGCAATATAAGGCAGATCGAGATTTAGAATCGGCGATTTCTGACAGGATGAATGAAGGGGAGGCTGCTGAATGGATAGCCCAGCTGCACAATGAGGGAGCTGCTGAACTAAATTATGCCAATGGATTTGTTGCGCTGCTCCGGGCCAGATTTGAAGTCCCAGACCGAATCAATGAAAATGAAGCCATAATAAAGGTGATGAAGCAAGGAAATCAACTCATAAAAGATTTTGTATGGGACTTAAGACGGGTCGCAGGGAACCTTGGGCATTGGCTGGATCGCATACTCCTACACTATTTTAAAGAAGCCATCAATCAGGAAGTCAGGACAGCCTGCGGAGTCCGAGGGATGCCTGAGCGACTGCACAATTGGTATACCATGTCCACAGCTCTGGATAGAGAAACTCACCCCCACCACAAAGCCCCAGCAGAGAAGCCGCCTCGGAGAACTTTGGCTAGACATCCATTTTCAAAGCCTACTGAAGTCCCTCCCATTCAACCTGCAGGGGTGATTAAATGCTATTGTTGTGGACAAATGGTGGAGCCGATCCTCCAGCTTCCTGACCCAAATAAACCATTTATAGTCCAAGCCGACACTAGTGACATGGCGGTGGTGGCTGTTCTACTGCAAAGGAATGCTCAAAACAAACTAATGCCTTCTGCTTACATGTCAAAAAAGTTAACAGACACTGAGCACAGATGGGCAGTATGGGAGGAGGCTTTGCTGTGCGATGGGCTCTCTTATACTGGAGACACTTCCTAGAGGGGGTAAAGGAGCCTTTCGAAGTGTGGACTGACCACAAAAACCTCGAGGCATTGAAGACCCCTTGGAAGCTTTCCCCCAGTATGGGCTCAATATTTTAAACACTTTAACATCAACCTAAAATACATTTGGGGGGGGGGGGGCTATTAGCTGATGCTTTGTCCAGAAAGCCCCAGTTTGACAGCTGGCAAGAAGAGGTAGTATATGCCATGATCTCTGAAACCCAACCAGCTGCCCAAGCACACACTAGAGCACAAACACGGTGCGGTTTAAACCTCCCAGAAGACAAGTTGACAGCAGAGCTAAAAGCGGCATTCTCAAATGATGCCTGGTTTCAGGAAAACCAGACAGAATTAATCTTAAGGGAGGGATTGGCTTGGAAGGGGAGTAAGATTTATGTGCCCAGCTGCATGCAACTCCTGGTGCTAAAGTGTAGTCATGATTCTTGAGTAGGGGGCCACTTTGGATTTTTAAAAAACCTACATTTGACTAGAAGACAATTCTGGTGGCCAAGAATGAAAACTGACGTAGAGGACACTGTTAGAAGCTGTGCTACCTGTGCCACCATGAAATCCCAACTGAGGAAGCCCCCTGATCTTCTCCAGCAAGTGGCAGAACCTACGCAACCCTGGGAGGAGATTGCAATGGACTTTATCATCAAACTTCCAGAAAGTGGAAGAAACACAGTGATTTGGACTGTCATTGATTTTCTCCAAACAAGCACACTTCACTGCCTGTAACGGACTACCCAATGCCAAAAAGCTGGCAAAACTTTTTGTGAAGCACATCTACAGGCTATATGGGGTCTCACAGAGAATAATATCAGATCGGGGGTTCAATTTACTGCTAGGTTCTGGAAGGAGTTCTTGAGATTCATTGGGTCATCCCAGGGGCTTATCTTGGCTTTCCATCCAGCTACTAATGGATCCTCTGAAAAAATCTAACGCAATGGTGGAACAATATATTAGATGTTATGTAAATTATCAACAAGAAAACTGGATGGAGCTATTACTGTTCGCAGAAGTGGCTTATAATAATGCAGTACACAGTAGTACAGGGTTGACTCCTTTTCAAATAACTGCTGTTATGGATTTTGTGCCTATGCCTGAATTGCCTAGAAAACCACCCACTTTCATGACCCTAACAGAATGGATAACCTCCTTGCAAAAGGGGTGGGAGAATACTAAGAAGGCTCTAGCAGAAGCAGCTGAGTGATATAAAACCCAGGCAGGCAAACACAGGTCTCTCCAGCCGCCTTTTCGAATAGGAGATAAAGTGTATTTGTCAACTAAGTACCTAAGATTGAGCCTACCAAGCAAGAAATTTGAACCAAAATTCATTGGTCCTTTCCCTATAGTGAAGTGATTAACCCTATAACTGTCCAACTTAGCCTCCTTCGCATATTAGGGAAAGCGCACCCAGTGTTTCACAGTAGCTTATTGAAACCAGCAATGGGATCTAATTTAAGACCCTTACCAGCTGGTCCCCCTCCCCCGCCTTTGATAGTACAAGGGGAGACTCATTATGAAGTTAAGAAAGTCCTTGACTCTAGATTACACAGGGGTCAGTTACAATATTTGGTACACTAGAAAGAGTACCCTTTGGCTGAAACTACTTAGAAACTTCCATGCTGCCACCTTCTCATGTATGGGAAAGTAGGAGGGGGGATTTAGTAGAGAGAATGTATTTAGACAAAATAGTCAAGATAAGAACAATCCTGCATCTGGAGAAGGAGTGGTTGGAGTGATGTCTCGAGATGGGACAGATGGTGATTGGAGCATATGATGGACTGATGAATGAGGGGATGGTTTGGGGGCTTTGATTTACTGAGGGAAAACCTGGAACTCTCAGATTCGGGTTTTCCCAGATGTGCCAGTATACCTATTTCAATAAATGGAACTTTGAGAAAATGCTTGCTTTGGAGTTTTTAATTGGAGTTGGGGTTATCTGGAATGCTGACAGCCGGCTTCCGAGGAGCTTTACTAAGTGGAGGAGGACCTGGAGTCCAAACCAGCTTCCCAGGACCAAATAAGGGAGAAACTGATCACATCCATGAGGGAAGCGAGAACGATTCTGGAGTAGAGGTCAACGGAACCTCTGGATTTAAATGAGTTCGGGGAATGGAAATACCAGACTCGCAGCCAAACCCTGGAGGGACTACCTGAAAGATTCGAGCAGATGAATCTTGGTGGTGGCGGCCAGCCGCAGAGAACCAGCCATACCATGGCAGTCCTTGGTCAGCTGACATTTACATTTCCCATGCAGAGGGACTGGTCTACAGAAGACGTGATGCCTCAAGCTCTGCATTCAGTGCAACCTGGAACACAGCCAAGGCTGCCCGGGAGGGACCAGTCATGACCCAAGAGTTGGGTCATCCAACTCTTTGGATGACCCAAACTAACAGCCCTCCACTGCTGCTCTTGGCTTGATCAAGTCTCACTTCTTATCAGAGCTCACTCAGGTGCAGAAGACCAGCCAGCCCACCTGGCAAACCCCAGCTGTCACTGGTTGGAGTGGTGCCCCCTGGATGGGCCTACTACCCTGGACAAGGCTGGGTCCAGATCCAGGCACAGTGGATTCTGCGCCACAGCCACTGACCCCTTGGCCCAGAGGGGAAGGCTCCACTGCATTTCGAGCAGTGTTCAATGGAAACCCAGATAAATTGGCTTTCTTTTTAAACTGAGTATGGACTCACTTCAATTGCTATGGAGATGACTACCAAGATGATCGAGATATAGTTTCCACCCTCACTGACAATCTGGAGGGGGAAGTATGTATTAATGTTATTATGGTTAAATGTGCTGTATGAAGAAAGCAGAAGGCAAACTATTGTAGAAAAAAGGCATTTTACTGAAACATTGTCAATACCATTGCATTAATAATAAGATTCTGGACATCTCAGGTCTCCATCTTCCTGTAATTTTTAAAAGTTTTTACTTTACATGTTTTTACAAGTGTTTCAGAACAGTACTTGCCAGGTGTATTACAAGTATATTATTCTGAATTTATACCTTGCCCACTACAGTCATAAGTAGTTATGCCATTATGCTAGATTGCCTTGCTTAAGGGCCCCCGTCTCCTGCTCTCCCTGATGCAGCCCTTAAACAAACACATGGGTTCTTAAGCACAGCACAGAGTACCTCAGGTACTATTTTTTGTGAAGAAGGACCTGGGAGGACTAGTGTAGGGCCAGGCCCATCTGCCTCAGGCCTCCCAAAGCACTCCATTTTCCACCCCCTGTCCCTCAGAGTCTCTACAGATCTTGGCCTGTGCCCAACCTGCCATTCAGTCATCCAGAGGAACCTAAAACAGCAGAAGCTACTGGCACACAAAGGGCTATATACAGTTTTTAGTTCTCAGCTTCCATCCCACCCAGCCACCCAGCCACCAAAGGGAGCCTAAGGAGGGGGAAAACATGTAGACAGTTTCAGAGATGCAAAAAATTATATATATATATAATCCTAATATTATTCAAATATTTGCCTCTTCAAATTTAACATATTTAAAGCACATCTTCCCCTAGGTTTAAAATACATTAAAAACATGTGAACAAAAATAAATAATTCCACCATTTACTCATACATATTCTTTTTCATACAAAATTGAATCATATATAGAAGCAGCAACAGAATGAGGCAGGGGAAAAACGACAATTCTGTTGTTGCTGGACAAGAAAATTAGTAGGTGATTACAGATGTAGCATCCAAAGCCATGGCCAACTGCATAGGTTCCCTGAGCCACAGGTTTAGCACCAATGTTCCTCTGTTTATTCCATATTAGTGAAAATAGTGTGGGACCAATAACTTACCTTTTATACCTCCAAATGGTCCATGTGTCATGTTATATGCTGTTCGATAAAGATTGTGTTCATACATACGTTTTAGTTGGTATTGATTGCCATGTTCTGTATTTCCTAAGCTTCCTATTAAATAAAAGAAAAAGCTGTCTTAAGCTTGCAATATTTTCTCTGGAAAATGTTGTTATGAAAGATGTTGTAGTATACTTATGTTACACTTGAATACAGTTGTCAGAATTCAGGTTTCATCGATTATTATACCACGTGCCCCCCCCTCCCAATTATTTTGACTATACCACAAAACTGAGGGGAAAATTAACCCCTTAATTTTCTTAACTAACTTAATTTAATTTTCTTAAATTTCTTAATTTCTTAACTTAATTTTCTTAACTAACTTAATTTAACTTAAAAGTAACTGCAGTACACTTTTCTCACAAACTTGACGTTTTCAGTTTATTCTCTGATTCTGATATCAAATAGAGAATACAAAGATCTCCATCATATTGATGGAGGAATGACATCATAAAATCTCCCTAAATTTTGGTGAACTGTTAACTCATCATCCATAACTTGCTAGAGCTTGGTATCTAACAAGTAAAGAGCTGCAAGCTACCTATTTCTTTAGAGGACAAAGAGAAAGGCTTGTAAATCCACTTTTTGTACTGGGGAGATTTTAAAATATGAAGGTTCAAAACATGTTATTCCTCTACAGATCATCAAATAGAAAAATCTATTTATGTGGTCATTAAAGGTTGACAGCAATTTGATGGCACAATTAAACCATCACATTATTAGCCTACAGTCCTTCCAAGATGGTGGTTTATCTTCTTTATGTATGACCTAGCTAGCCCATTTACTGCTGATGATTAAAACAATTGTAGCACATTTGGTTCTGATATAATTGCTCATAAACATCTTCAATAAACTAAGAAAAAGTGTTGAGATGCAAGTTTATATATTACAGTATGCTTCTAAAAATACACTTTCAATAAAAACATATCTCCTGATGTTGTGCTTTATATACATGCCATTTCAAAAGCTTCACTTAATGATTGGATCAGAGCAGGCAAAATGCCTGTTAAGCAAGGTAACCACATGTTCACCTTGTTAAATGACAATCATAACAGGCAACCATAGTGCTAGGCTCCATTATGGTCAAAGGTCGATAACTATCTGTGCTGTGTTAGAAACTTCCTTTTCATTGCCACAAATTAAGGGGAAAACTTTTCTAGAAGTACTAGTATTACTTGACCTTTCTAATATTTACTTTTCCAATACTGTCAGGATATATATAGAAAATTTTCCAAGAGAGTATCTTTTTTTATATATATTTTGAAATAGATTTAGTATCATTAAATCTGTAGGAAGAAAATGCTATATTTTATAAGTGGAAAATAGAGAAAGTAAGTTGATTTGATTTATTTTTACCTGAGACAGCGTAGACACATAATTTTTTGCAATGCAATACAGCCAGATGAAGCAATTCTGTGCCACTAGCAGAAAGGACAAGGTGAAATGTGTTTTAAAAACACTTCTTGAATATCAATAATCTAAAAGACCAATAAATCATACTAAATACTAACAGCATGTAACATACAAACTTTTTTGTACTTAATACTTCAATAATTTTTGTCAATAGCTATATACTGATGTATACTTATCAAACGTATCTTAAATCGAAACCAAACTATGTGGCAGCTTAAAAGTTCCCTAATTCATAGACATCTCTTTAATTCATATGGTTATAAGAAAGGCAGGAGATACAGCATAATTGGATTTGCAAGACCCTAACAATATAAGGACTATCAAAACAGATTAGTTTTAGCCTTTCTGTGGAGTTGATTCCTGATTTGGTCTACCTGGTGAGCTAATCTCAATCTTGCAAGTCTGACTGATTTTGTATGTATTTTGTACTTCGTATGCAACCTCTCTAAATCATCCAGTTTCCAGAAATAGTCAAATTTCATAGATGAGATGGATGGGTGGGTGGGTGGACGGAGGGATAATCCACAAAGCCGGGCATCTCTACAGCATTCTAATAACCATTAATTAGAATACAACGATGAATACTTATTTAGCTGAATTTATCAGCTGCCCAACTCCAATGGATTCTTTATTTTCCTTTATCACCGTAACATCTTATGCAGCAAGTGAGACAGTGAGAGCATAATTAAATAATGAGATAGGTATTGAAAACCAATTTAATTAAGATTATGGGAGGTTGTCCCTGAAACTAAGAGTTTTCAACAGTCTCCAACCTTCCTTTTTGGGGAAAAGGTTATTGAAAACATGATCAGCTGCAATTGATGATAATTCTGGAGAAAATGGATTATCTAAACCCATTTCAGTCAAGTTTCATGCTGAGATTTAGTACAGTTAATGATCTTTGGCAAAGCTTGGAGATAGTGCAACTATCCATGTGCCACTTGATTTCTTGGTATTGTCAGTACCACTGAAGAGTATGGTGAGCCAGCACCATTGGTTAGGAATTAAGGGCTGTGTTTTACAATGGTTCTCTTTCCTTCTCCTGGACCAATTCCAGTCAATGTTAGCTAGGATTATGTTGGGAGTATGTCACTTCCTAGACCCCTCCTTTGAGGGTGCCACAGGATTGTTCTCTCTCTCCTTTTCAATATCTACATGAAACTGCTGGATCAGGTCATCTGCCAGTTTGGAATTAGATCTTATTAGTATGCTGATGATAGCAAATTGTATCTTTTGACTCCAAGTTAACCAAGTGAGTCTGTCAAGGTTCTGTCCTAAATGCCTGGAAGTTATTTGGTTTTGGATGTGGAAGAATCATGTCCACCTCAATCCACCAAGAGTGAATGGCTGTGGGTGGTTTGGCCACCCAGATCTAGGGATATTTCATATTTGATGCCTTCAAGGCAATCTAACAGTTTTGGATTCACAGTTCCTGCCTGAAAAGCAAATGGAAGTTCTGGCCATGAACAACTCCATCTGATAAAACAGTTGCACACTCTCCTACCTCAGAGGAACCTTCAGACAGTCACTTATGCCTTAGTCACCTTGTACTCTACATAGGCTGTGCTTGAAAATACCCAGAAACTTCATCTGTTCCAGAATGTGGAGGAATGAGCAGTAATGGACACACCTTCATATGCCCATGTACAACCTCTGCTTCACAAGTTACATTACTTCCAGGGGCAATTCAAAGTGCTGATTTTTCTCTACAAAGCCCTATGGGTACAGAGTTTGATTACTTGAGGAATTACCTGTCTCTCATAACAGCCACACAGCCAATTAAATCCTGCGGAGTTGGTACACTTGGAGTTCCTTCAATTAAATAAGGACATCTGGAAGCCTGGAAGCATGCCTTGTCTACAGCAGTTACTGCCCGCTGCAACAAAGTTCTCCTTGAGATCCAGATGGTCCTCAGTCTCCTTTTGTTTAGATGATCTATGAAGATCTGGCTTTTTATCCCAGCCTTTTTTGAAGGAAAGTAAGACCTCTTGTTTCCTTCCATCTCATCTGTTGTACTTGCAATCTTTTAGCTTTATCATTTTATTTCATTATAGTTTGTTTGATTATGTGAACTACACAGGGTTGTTGAGAGTTAGGCAACATACAAGTTTAATAAATTATTAAAATAATAAATAAATACATTATTATTTATTTAAAAATACTTGTTTTGCAAGTTGTCACTCTTAAAAATTCAGTACACCTCTTTTACTTACCATAGTTGCTAATTTGGACATTGTGGTAAATTACTATTCAACAAAACAATGGAATATATTACCAGAAAGTTAATAACTAGGTAATTATATATTACTGATTTTTTTGATAAATAACTAAATAAATGTAACATTAACAAGACTTTTTTTCTATTCTCCTAGAGTAGGGGTGTCAAACTCGATGCTGTTGCAGGCCACATCAGGAGTTTGTTTGCCCTTGGAGCGATGTGGGGCATGGCCTGGTTGTTGGGGCCAATTGAGTGGGAGTGATCGGGCCAGCAGGGGCTGGTCATTTGCTGTCTCTGGGATGGCTCCAGGGGCCAATTCCACAGCCTATCGCAGGCTGCATCTGGCCCATGGGCCACCTGTTTGATATGTCTGTCCTAGAGTTATATTAAGAAACCTAATACATGAGCTTTGCTCCAATACATTGCTCCAAGAAATGTAAGCATCCAAGGCCTGTATCTTGATTATTACTTTACAATCCCAAACATTTCATAAAATATACTTTAGGGAAACAAATTGGTCATAGCAGTAAAATAAATTAGTTTATATCTACCCAATTAGCTTCATCAGAAGCAACAACAGTTTACTTACGAAACAAATTTTCCTACTTCCACTTGTAATATTGGCTCACATAATTGTGTTTCCAAGAGCATATCTTCAGCTTGCATACCATGTCCTGGTTTTATAGGATGGGGATTATAGATTCTAAGAAATCCCATATAACTGCCTACAATAATTTTATCTGAAATAAAAACATATTTATGGAAGAACAATGAAACAAACAAACATTCATATTCAAATTATTCTTCAATGTTCTAGGTAAACAAGTCAGAGGACCAAATTGTGCTTGTTTTATTTAAAATAAGTATCATTTACATTTTTCTCTATAATCTAAGGTATGTACATATGTAAGTCCCCTAATATTTTATTAACCTATAAATTGGACTAAGAAATTATAACTAGCCCGAATCTTCCAAGTAAGCTCCATGATTCAGATATTTCATCTAGTCCCAGCGCATTACCATACTAGCACACTAGCTATTTTCTTAGAATTTAATTCTTCTAAGTTTAATAAGATGCATCTTACAATAAATAAATAAATTACAAGTTGATTGGAAGAACAAAATTTCAGAATTTTAATTACACATCAAATGTAAAAGTATCCACTTACCTTGTGCACTACTGCTATTGTCAACATTTGCAACACATAAACATCCTTGATCAAATTCTTCTTTATTGCCCACTATTGTAGACCACCACTCCCGGGCTTTAAATAAAGACATTCTCTGTGAACCCTGGTGGGAAAAAATAACTATCATAAAAGCCTTATTATGAACCATTTAAAAAAATAATTTATATCTCATCTACCATCTCAGTTTAACAGAGAAAATATGAAGGTAATTTTTTCCTTCAAAACATCATAATAATTACTTCTGATAAGAATCAAGTTCATCATTCACAGTGCTTATGTAATCCAAGTATGTGCTGACATTTTAGTTGGCATCCCACAAATCAAATTAAAAATGTAAACTATACATTTTTAGGATGCAGAGTTAGGAATAAAGATTGCAGTCCAGCAGAGTTTCAGTTCTATACTCAATTATTAAACAAACTCAGGAAATTTTTAAAAGTAGTTTATGAGTTGGAGATTATAATACAAATAAATCCTCATGCATCCTGGAGATTTTTCTGGATCAGAGCTACAGAACTTATGTAATGCTCAAAGGAAAGAGTTGTGTGTATTGTAAATGTACCATATTTTAAACTAGACCATAAAAACATAAGTTAATAATTTTATTTTGCATTCTCTTTTATTAAATAAATACCCACACAATAATATGGTACAAGAGATTAATGTTTATTATGCTGGCAGTTTAGTAACATAGTTACATAAATTAAAATATGATGCATTCTTTCACTCACAAAGGATTGAAATAACAAGCATATCTAATTATTGCATTCTTTTTTAAAAAAGACTGATTTGTTTCTTAAGTTATTTTGCAATATTAGATTCCCAAATGGAAATCTATTTATCCAATGAATTACATTGTTCCTTCTTATTTTGCATTTCTCTAAAAAATTGTATGCAAGGTGTTGGTTGGAGCAAAAATTTAACATGATAGGAGAAGTTAGATTATTTTCTAACTACTTCAAATGGGATATTTGGACTCAATGAGCCTTGCAACATCCTGCCACAAGCAGTGGCACTGGCGCAGCGAGGCACACGGCGTCCTGTCACGAGCGGCTACAAAAGAAACCAGGCAGTGGTGCGACAAGTGTTGGGGCAGGGGTGGCCTAGTTGTGGCAGTCCTAAGGTAAGCAGGTGCGGGGCACATGAGACAGCTTCATCCCCCCAAGCTCCACTCCCCAACCCTATCCTAGCTTAATTTTTATGCATGCACCTCACCCCACGTCATACAACCAGATGGTGGGTGGGATTTAACTAGGGCTTATTTTTGGAGTAGGGCTTATATTAGGCACAGGTGTGAAAATTGGGTTAGGGCTTGTTTTGGGGATAGGTTGTAATTTTGGCGAAACACAGTACAATGTTTTACATGTTCACTTTCCAAATTCAACTTCAGTAACATTTTATAAATCTTATCAATAATATGCTCATCGCCATCACACCGTAAGATTTCCAATTCATTTTTAGCAAAATCAAACCCACAACTCTTTTTATCTGATTTAAATTGTTTTTTATGTTGTTGATATGTAAACCAATGAACAAACATAATCTTCTAATTCAAGTTCTTCCCTTGACTTTAATATAGGTTCACCAGAGTTGAAAGGTAATATTTTGCCATACATCCACCAGTCTGGCTTCGCCACCATCTTTTTTCTAAAAAAAGCTTCTTGAGGGGACATCCAAAGAAACAACTTCATAGAGAATCTTGTTTTATATTTATTCCAAACTCTTAGTATGGCACATCTAGCAAAGTGATTATTAAAATGCGCTAGGCTGTTGCTTAGCGCATTGTAAGCCGCCCTGAGTCTCCGGAGAAGGGCGGCATATAAATCAAATTAAAAAAAACAAAACATTAATTTTAACTTTATTATACCATAAATAACTGTACTATGCAAACCTTATTTCATGGCCCTCTAATTCAAGTAGCCTTTTAGTCTGAAGGTTCATCCACTCTTTTAACCAGGCCAGATACCATGCCTCAAAATACAATTTTAGGCCTGGTAAACCCAACCCCCCCCTTTCCTTAGCATATGGGGGGGGGGAATTCCTAATGACCACAGAATACACGCTGTTTTGTGAACATGAGAAAAGGAAAACTGAATAGAAAGAATAGAATAGAGAATGGCTGATAGACCAGAACAAAAATGTTTTATCAACCATTCTATTTATAATATGAAAATAATTGTTCAAGGCAATTTATTATTCCTATCCTATTCCTATCAATGGCAACAAAAGTTTCCCTTTGATTTTTGTATTATTTATGTAGATGTCCATCTTGCTAGTTGCAACTTTAAGTAGCAAACAAAAGATTAAAAACCAGCAGAACAAAAATGGGTTTTAACAGAAATGCAAGCATAACCAGATCATTTAATTCTTTACCATAATTGACTTCAAGTTGTCCTTATGACCATAGCTAAGGAACTCAATCTGGCAGAATATAAATAGCTTGTACTAATGCCTACTTAAAGTTATCTGGTACAGTATGGTATGTGCTGAAGAAGAAAATGAGTAATTCTTAGCTTGATAATACCAAGTGAGTATATTAATGCAAAGTTTTTTAAGTATACTTAATCAAATAACATTACCTACTATCTCAACATTTTTCTACCAATTATAAAATTTATAACAAAATTGTGCAAATGTTGCCACTTTCCATAAATAGTGCAAAAGTTCTTGTAAGAGTATGCCAGTACTGCTACTGTTAACTTGTAATTTTAAAAACAAAACAACTTCTTTACAATACTCAGGACTACAGAGCTAGAATAGCACTAACAAAAGACTATCTCAAGCATATTGTTTTGATCCAGAAAACATGTACAAAATGCATAAATGAACCTATGAAAGAAGGATGCTTACATCACATTACATCCATACAATCCAAACTTAGATATATTTCAAAGTAAGCATGCATAAAATAACATAACTATAATGATAGTCTTATACTTATAATATCATAACATAATATCACAAGTTTGTTATTGTTAGGGTAAAACCTAGCAAAGTATTATACGATTGCAAACAATAATTCTTTCCATTGAGCTAATTATGCTTATTTTATTCACTTACCCGACTTTTTCTGTAACTGACGAATCTTCCTTTTTTCCCCCCTCACTGGTGCTTCCTTACACAAATTTAGTTACAGAGAAGGAGCATTCCAAGAGCTGAAGCAGTATATTCGTGTTATCAGAGAGAACGATAATCTTTTAAGTGCAATCCTTTTATGTCAGCATTACACGAAAAATCTATGAGAAATTAAATAAACAGAAACTGCCAAAGAGAACATAAAATCGTATCTACTAAATAGAAACGTGGATGAACTTAATTACTCGACAATGAGATGAAAAACCACAGAAACTGACAGTCACTCCACCCGCCGCCATTTTTGTTGCCGTTGTCATAGTACCTCGACAAACCAACGTCTGCTCTGACCGCTCCCATTCCCAAGGAAATCCCTTTGGTCGGGAAGGCTGTAACCCCTGTTGAAGTTTGCTGCCGGTGGGAGGAGGAGGAGGAAGAAGCTAGGCGGAAGAATGCATGTTGGGAAATATAGTCTTACCCCCGAAAAAGGTAAGTAACTGATGGACTAGCGGTAGATTGGATTGTACTATTCGGCATACAAAGAGCAAAATAGCTATGAAATGTGGAAGTATTCCTTCCCCAGCATCTTATTAGGTTCAATTTTATAATGTAAGGAGAGAAACGGGAGAGTTGTTCTGAATTAAAATAATTAGAAAGACAAAAGAGAAACTATTCTACCCCGTTTTGGAGTAACATGGTTTCTTCCACAGGCTCAGTCGAGCCGTTCCTAATAGCCTTATTAGTCGCTCGCTCAGTTTAAGCGTCAAGAGCGTTGTTACGGGCAAACGACATTTCTCTTGTAGACTAGGGCACTTCCTGGTAAGAAAAGGAGTGGATCCTCTGAGGCAGCAGGAGACGGGATTCACTTACTTTTCTCATTTAACGACGTTTTGATGCAAGGACAGGGATACCACGAGGATCCAGGGCGGCAGGCGGCGTGCAGGGCCTCACAAAGCTACTTAGTGGCTTGCCGGGAATTCAGATTCTGAGACCTAGACGAAAACTCTATTCGGTTCCGCTCCAAAGCCGGTGTGTAAGTGTGCCACCATGGACAAGAGCGCCGTAGCCAAAATGGGAGCAATGGCCAGCGCCAGTGTGTGCGCCCTGGTTGGGGGAGTAGTCCTGGCCCAATACATCTTCACCGTAAAGAAGAAAACGGGCAGGAAAACGAAGATTATAGAGATGGTAAGCACGCTTTAGGATTCTAAATTCCCAGTTTCGTGCCTTCCCTCGGGATATCTTCAACACTTACAGCCCGAGCAAGCTTGCAACTAGCGTTTACCTATTTTGGCACTATTGATTGAAAATGAATGTTAACGAATAGAATCGGGGTAGAAATATAGGCCTCTGAAAATGAATAAAGTTGCGGTAATAATTTCAATTGGAAATGATGGGGAAGGAAGTTGGTAAACCAGACATACATAGTTGACTCAATTGATATAATTATGTGTGTACATAGAATATATAGTTTGCAATCTAAACCTAGTGTAATGACATAAGACTTTATACATAAGTATTTATACACTTTGTTTGCATTTTTAATATCCATTCCCAGGTTATCCAATAAGCAAGTTTGTTGGCAGCCTGGAATTGACTATATATTCATAAATGTGAGATCTGCACTATCTAGGTAATATGACCATTATCCTTTTTAATCAATGAAGGAATATGTTAGTTCACTTAAGATTTTTAACTGAGGATATTTTGAGTAAGAAGTTATCAAATTGCTTTAGTCAGTTCTGGTAAACATCTATAGCCAATTGCCAAAAGACACATACTTTTATCACGATTACATTACATGTTTACATTGCAGGGAGGAAAATTAAACTCTGCTAAATTACAATAAATATTGTTATGCATTATCTACAAGATAGTCACAAGCAGTCATAATTGCAAAATCATTATTTTGTATTCTTTAATATAATCCTGTAAAGCAGAGATTCATTTGTCATATGAAAATAATCAGATACATATTACACTGAAATTCTGAAATTGACAATATGTGATTCCTTGAGAGCTAAGAGTGAAATTAATAGAAGGCTGGGAAGCATGAAGGTGTTTATATGTACAATTCAGTGGTGGTTGGGTTTGTACATCATACCAAAGTATAGTCCATTATGGTTCAGTGTTGTGCAACTGTAGCCAATGTGCGTAGTATGTCATCAAAATCAAGATATTGTATTAATTCTAATACGATTAAAATAATTATAGTTATGATGAGATAGTGAAGTATTAAATTGTATTTTAGATCAACAGTATAGGATTCAAAAGTGGCCAGTCAAAATTTGAGCAATTTTCTATGCACATAATTCTACTCATAGTTCAGCAATGCATCTTTAACAGAATTTAATTGATTTTAATTAATTCTTAATACCCAGGCATATGGATATTAATTTATCAACCATATGCCAGTCCCAGGCTCAGATAAATAGGGAAGATTAGAGAAAGCAATGGTAAACTATCCTGTAAAAAAATCTCACCACAATACTTTATGGCAATAACTCAACATGACTCAAATATGGATATGATTTCGATGCAAAAGTAGGACTAGGAAAGTTGCAAGAATAGTAGGCAAGTTTGGGCTATGTGAATGGAATGAAGCTGGTGATTGCCTAGTTCAAATTTGCTAGAAAAATCAGCATAATGAATATGTTTATTCAACACCTGATGTTTATACACATGGACAGCACCAAATGGACAATATTGAAATCAAATAGACTTCATTTTATGCCAACAATGCTTGAAAGGTTCAGTTGCATTTATTAAAACACTTCCTGGCACTGATTGTATCTCAGACCATCAGCTATTAGTCACTAAACTGAAAGCTCAAGCTATGCAAAGTGAAAAAAGGTACTATACCCCTGTTATTCAATGTGGATAGCATCTCACCTATGTACGCTATAAGTTAATAGGTTTGAAGGGAAAGATCCAAATGAACAGTGATGAGAGATCTCTGGTAGCATCATGGAAATTGCTGGAAAGTATGTGTCATGCCAAAAACCAGAGAGAACAGATAAGTAGCTATCTGATGATACGATCAAAATAGTTGATCAGCGTAGGGTGGCTGGAGCCAAAGGTAATGAGGATGATTAAAAGGCTGAATGAAATTTTCCAATGTGAAACCAGGAAAGACAAAAACAGGCAGTGGGAGAAGCACTGGCATCATCTGGAAGAAGGTACTGTAACAGGAAGGGATATACTAAGATCATGTTTGCTGTAGTAAAAATGATTCAGTGCAGCTTTTCAGCATGGCAAGGAATTGTTAAAGACTGCAACGGGAATGTACTAAATGACCAGTAGAAGACCAAGAACAGGTGGAAAGAATATTTGGAAATACCCTATAGCAGTTTGACTTACCATCAAGATGACAATGATGGCAGCCTAATTAAATAAAGAACAAACATCTTGAAATAAGAAATAAAATGGCCCATGGAGAAATTATTGAACTGGAGAGCTCCAGGTATTGATGGAATACTTACAGAATTACTAAAGCCATTGCTAGTTAGCATCATCGCTGCCTAAAGATGTGTCTAAAGATATGGACTATATGTCAGTGGCTTCACGACCGAAAAAGATTTGTTTTTATGCCATTAGTAAAGAAAAACAAGAGACTGCTCAAACTATTGCACAATCGCATTGATTTCTCATGCAAGCAACATTCTATTAAAGATCATTCAACAGAGGCTACAGAATGTCATTGATCAAGAGTTACCTGATTTACAAGCTGGCTTTATAAAGGGGCACAGCACTCAAGGTCACATTGTCAATATTAGATGGATTATGAAAAAGGCAAGTGAATATAAAAAGAATCTATAAGTGTGTTTTATCTATTATAGGAAAGTTTATCTTCCTTGGATCAAAAATTGTTCGAGATGGCATTTCAACACCTGAAATCAAATGCAGGATAACCTTAAGCCTGTTTGCAAAGGTTAACATGAATAAGATCTGAAAAAGCAGAGATATTGATATAAATATAAAAATCAAGCCAGTTAGAGCAGTAGTCTATGCTAAAGGCTTCGACTCAACCCTTCCAAGACCGAGTGGCTGTGGATGCCGGCATCCCGATATAGCCAGCTGGCGCCATTGCTGGCTATTGGGGGCCAGTCATTGACCCCCACAGATGGGGCTCGCAACTTGGGCGTCCTCCTGGACACACGGCTTTCTTTAGAAGAGCATATGACGGCCGTGGCCAGGGGGGCTTTTTATCAGGTTCGCCTGATACGCCAGTTGCGCCCCTTTCTGAGTCGGGATTCCTTATGCACAATCACTCATGCTCTCGTCACTTTTCGCCTGGACTACGCTAACGCTCTCTACATGGGGCTCACCTTGAGGAGCACCCGGAGGCTCCAACTGGTCCAGAATGCGGCCGTGCGGGTGATCACGGGAGCGACATGGCGCTCCCATATAACACCTCTCCTGCGCGAGCTGCACTGGCTCCCGGTAGTCTTCCGGGTGCGCTTCAAGGTGTTGGTTCTCACCTTTAAAGCGCTCCATGTCTTAGGGACAGGGTATTTACAAGACCGCCTGCTGCTACCGATAACCTCCCACCAGCCAATACGCTCTCACAGAGAGGGCCTCCTCAGGGTGCTGTCGGTCAAGCAATGTTGGCTGGCGGCCCCCAGGGGGAGAGCCTTCTCTGTGGGAGCACCCGCCCTCTGGAACGAGCTACCTCCCGGAATACGGCTGATTCCGGATCTCCACACTTTCCGTAAGGCCCTGAAGACTTTTTTATTTCAGCAAGCTGGCCTGGCCTGAATAGGTTTTAGGGGATTTTTTTAATTGTATTGCTAGGGGTTTTAAATTGGGGCAGCTGTTTAATTTAATTTATTTTTAATTATTTTAACTTTTATATTGTATGTTATTTTAATTCTTGGCTGTTCACCGCCCTGAGTCCCTTCGGGGAGAAGGGCGGGATATAAAAAATAATAAATAAATAAATAAATAAATAAATAAATAAATAAATAAATAAATAAATAAAATGATGTATGAGTATGCGAATTGGACACTAAGAATTACTGATTGAAGAAGAATTTACATCTTTGAACTGTGTTACTGGCAGTAAATTATTGTGAATACCATGGATAGCCAGAACAACCAATAGAGATGCTGAATCACAGAAATCCAGAAACATCACTAGAAGCCCAAATCACAAGACTACATCTGATTTACTTTAGCTATTTTGTGCATGCAAATTCATTGGAGAAATCAGTGGTGCTAGGAATGGTTAGTGGATCAAG